CTTTCCAAATTTTTCTTGTGATTGCCTTCTAGTTTCAGTGTTGTGGTCTGAAAATATGCATGGTATGATCCTGATATTTTTGTACTTGCTGAAGCCTGATTTGTGATCCAGTATGTGATCTATTCTGGAGAATGTTCCATGTGCACACAACAAGAATGTGTATTCTGCTATTTTAGTATTCTGAATATATCTGCTAAATCCATCTGGTCCAGTGTGTCATTCAAATCCATTGTTCCTTGTTGATTTTCTGCTTAGATGATCTGTCCGTTGCTGAAAGGGCGGGTGTTAAAGTCCCCCACTATTATTGTATTATTTTCAGTAAGTTTCCTTATGTTTGTTATTTATTGATTGATTGATTTTGGTTCTTTCCAGTAGGGGGCATAAATATTTACAATTGTTATGTCTTCTTGTTGGATTGTCCCCTTTATTATGGTATAGTGCCATTCTTCATCTCTTGTTACAATCTTTGTCTTGATGTCTAATTCACTCCATATAATTATTGATAAATATGAATGTAACCTGTAAAGTCATTATTTCTGGAGATTTTCTCTGTTCCTTTCTAGTCTTTGTAGCTTTTGTTCTTTCCCATTCAAAGAGTCCCCTTTAATATTTCTTGCAGGGCTGGTTTAGTGGTCATGAACTCCTTTAGTTTTTGTCTAGGAAACTCTTTATCTCTCCTTCTATTCTGAATGACAGCCTTGCTGGATAAAGTATTCTTGGCTGCATATTTTTCCCATTCAGCATGTTGAATATATCATGTTGCTCTCTTCTGGCCTGCCAGGTTTCTGTGAAGAGATCTAGTGTGGACCTGATCTGTCTTCCCTCGTAGGTTTGGAATTTCTATTCCCTTATTGCTCTCAGGATTCTTTCCTTATCTCTGTATTTTGCAAATTTTACTATGATATATCTTGGTGTTGGTCAGCTTTTGTTGATTTTTATGGGAGTTCTCTGGGCCTCCTGGATTTGAATGTCTATTTCTTTCCCCATATTAGGGAATTTTTCAGCTATAATTTGCTCAAATAAACCTTTCTGCCCCCCTTCCCTCTCTTCTTTTTCTGGGACTACTATGGTGAGAATGTTACTATGCTTAATGAAGTTGCTGAGTTCTCTAAGACTACATTTGTGATCTAATATTTTTCTTTCCCTCTTCTTTTCAGGTACATTATTTTCCATAATTTTATAGAAATCACTTATTCATTCCTCTACTTATTCCATCCTTGTCATTACCTCCAGTCAGTTTTGCATCTTGGTTATAACATTTTTCCTTTTGACCTGATTAGTTTTTAGGTCTTTTATCTCTGCAGTAAGGGTCTCTCTGATTTATTCTATCCTTTTCTCAAGCCCAGCTAGTATCCTTATGATTGTTGTTTAAATTCTTGTTCAGGCATATTACTTATTATGTCTATTTTGATTAGCTCCCTGGCTTTGACTCTTTTTGTTCCTTCCTTCAGGATGAATTCCTCCATCTTGGCATTTTGTCTACATCTCCATGTTTTGTGTATTAGAAAAGCCTTTTTCTGGTCCTATTTCCACTAGAGCTGAAGCTGTGCAGCACTGTATGATCAATAGAGCTAGTGCATGCATGGAGGAGGATAATGGGGGATGGAGGTTGTGTTTTCTTTGCTGTTGTTCCTTCCTTGACTGATTAAAAAAGCCACCTGCATTTGGCTCAGGTCATGATTTCATGGTTGATGAGTTCAAGCCCTGAGTCCAGCTTCTCATTGACAGTGGAGAGACTGCTGAGATTCTCTCTTTTCCTCTCTTTGTCCCTCCCTTGCTTGCTCTCTCTGTCTCTCTATAAAAATAAGTAAATAAACTTAAAAATAAAGGAGTTGCAGAGCACAGGGGGACAGAGCTTGGTGTAAGAGGCTCAAGCCTCTGTTGTGTGCTCTGTGATGATAGGAGGTGTGAAAAATGGCATCAGCCCACTCTTTTCCCCAGAGAGCAGAGTTTGTGCCCATTGCTCCTCAGACAACCCTCACAGAAGAGTGAACAATCTCCCTTCTTGAGTCTGAGGCTTCTGTCTGATCCCTGTCTTCATCCTGTCTGTGTCTGTGCCTTCTGCCTGCCTGGTAGTGCAATGCTCCTGTGTTTTATCTCAGGTGCGTGGCTGAGTTTCAAAACACCATTTTAGGGACCCAGTGCAGCATGGGCCTGCACTGATCCCTTGGGGGATGGTCTCACCATGCTTTGGCTGGTGCAGTTTGTCCCAGAAAAGCAGTCGCATGACTGTGCAGGGGTTTGGATTTTATGGTAAAGTATAAAACTGGCATCCGGGTTAGCTGTCAACAGAGGAGTCTCTGCTTGTATGCTAATGAATGGAGTAACTCAATGGCACCCACCAGCTCTTTTGTCCCCTGACAGGCAGTACCGCCTGTCCCAAATGCATTCCAGGGAGGGGAACTGTCTATTCCAGTGTGACCTAGGGGATCCTCAGAGCACGCTGTCCACTCCCAGGACTCTTCTCTCCTTGTCCACAGGAGCACCACTACACCTGCCAGGCTTGACCCTAGCAATGGTGCAGATTTCTAAAACTTTAGACTTTCAGGTCTACTGCTTATAAAAACTTGTGATAATCAGCCTAGTCAGTGGTTTTGGGGAAGTTTTTTTTTTCTGTGCAACCCCTGTGTGCTGCTTTCTCTTCCTCTCTCTCTCTCTCTCTCTCTCTCTCTCTCTCTCCTCTCTCTGTGATCAGGGCTGTTTTCCCTCTGCACATCTGCAATTGTTTTCTCTTCCAAATCACATCACTGCACCTCCTACCTTCCACGATGTGGCCTCTTTTCTCTCTCTAGTTGTGCAGTTTGTTCTCAGTCCTCAGATCAATTTCCTCGGTGTTCAGAATGATTTGATAATTAAGTAGCTGTGTTTGAGGGATGAGGCAGGCATAAGGTCCTCCTACTGCTCTGCCATCTTAACTTCTCCACTGAAGTGAGCACATTTCACCGTTATACATTTAATTTTATTTCACTTGTTCATTGTTTATATCTTCCATCAGGCCAGTGATTCTCAACTTTGGCTGCATTTTAGAATCATCTGGGAGCTTTTAAAAAAATACTGATATGTGGGTTCCATTCTGATACACTGAATTGTTTGGTATAGAGCCCAGACTTCTAATTTCAGTAAATTCTGATGTATACTGAATTGAAAAGCCCTGCACTAGACTCTAAGCCCCTGGAGAACAAGAACCATCTTTCTTGCTGTTGATTATACCCAGTAATCAGCATGGTGCCTGGCTCATAGTGCTAAAAAACAGTTTTTGAGTTTTTTGAATAAATGATACTAATGTGTTCTAACTTTTGACTTATTGTAGTTCTCTGCACTTCCTCGGTAGAGAGGTTTTTTTCTTTCTGCCTTAGCTCATGATAATTCTTTCCTTTATCTGGAATGCTTATTTCTTCTTTCTCTTGGTTTATGTAAATTCATTTTTTTAGGAATTGGCTTAAATACCATCTTCTCCAGGAAATGTTGTCAGTATCTTAGTGGGACCAGTGTCCCTACTCTGTGTCCTATAACACTTTGTGCTTATGTCTACTATAGCACTTAATAAATTATTTTAGAATGACATAAATGCTTCTCACTCTCACTTGCTTGTGAACTGTCCAGGGTTTTGGATCATTTCTCATTTCTTTAAACTGCTCATCCTTCTCTACTTTTTATATTTATTATCGATTTCACCACTGATTTAGTCTCTCAAGATATAAAATCCAAAGCCAGCATTCCTTCTCTTCTCCCTTAAGTTAGAAATAAGGGACGTGCAAAAATGTTCACTGTAGAGTTATTTATAATAGCAAACATTTGAAAGTTGATTAGAATATATTCATAGAGTATAATATTATGTAGCTTTAAAAATGAGGTTGTAGAAGATTACTGAATAGTAAATAAAATGTTCATATGATATGGGGCGCCTGGGTGGCGCAGTCGGTTAAGCGTCCGACTTCAGCCAGGTCACGATCTCGCGCTCCGTGAGTTCGAGCCCCGCGTCGGGCTCTGGGCTGATGGCTCAGAGCCTGGAGCCTGTTTCCGATTCTGTGTCTCCCTCTCTCTCTGCCCCTCCCCCGTTCATGCTCTGTCTCTCTCTGTCCCAAAAATAAATAAACGTTGAAAAAAAAAAATTAAAAAAAAAAATGTTCATATGATATACAATTACATGACAAAACATAAATGCAGCATGATGTCAATTAAAGAAGATCTTTAAAAAAAATTTTTTTAACAATTATTCATTTTTTGATAGAGACAGCATGAGTGGGGGAGGGGCAGAGAGAGAGGGAGACGCAAAATCTGAAGCAAGCTCCAGGCTCTGAACTGACAGCACAGAGCCCGACGTGGGGCTCGAACCCATGGACCTGACCGTGAGATCAAGACCTGAGCTGAAGTCGGACGCTTAACCAACTGAGCCACCCAGGCGCCCCTGTATGATGTCAATTTTATAACAGAATATTTATCTACATCAATCAGTATAAAAAGATAGGTTGGAATATATGAATAGTGGTTATTTCTGGGTGGTGGAATTTTTGTCTTTATGTTTTTATGTGTTTTCCATTTTAAAAATAATAGCACGTATTACTTTTGCAATCATAAAAATCATAGTAAAATTGAAAAGAATGTGGCATTAATTATCCATTAATTGGGTGAGCGAAATGGAGGTAACTGATATCTTGCTGAAGACATAAAAAAGGCAGAATCACCTTTCACTTCTATAGCTTTTTTCTCCACTTTAAATATTTGGCATTAACGGGGTGTGGCTATTGATTTACATTTATACAAAGCAACTTTTCACACTACCCACACTTATACCCTATAAGTAATGAAATCCATATTGTCTTGTTCCATTTTGAACTCTGAGAGAACATTCTTCTTTTATAAAACTGTGTATCATAATTATTCCTATACTATGGAATTCAGCCTGGAAATTCTGTTTAAACTAAGTTTTTGACCTATGTCTGAACCCCTTAAATGCACTTATTTACTATTTGTGCATTTGAAAGACAGCATGCACTCACCTTTTTGCAGACAAAGTCACCAGGTAAATAAACAGTGGATTTCAATCTTAGCAACATGTCATATATCATTTGTGTATCACAACCCTAAAGAAAAAAATAACAAAAAGAAAAATAATTTTTACAGACACAGCTACAAAGACAACATTCCAAATAACTTTAAAAGGATATGAAAATAAATAGTAATAAAGATCGTCTGTGTTAACACTAAAACATTAATTGCCAATGAATATGGATTTGTTTTGACCTAAAATTTAGAAAAAAAAACCAACCCAATAGTTTGAATGCAAGACTTTGGATCCCTGGTCAGATAGATTTGGGTTCTAATCCTGTCTCCACTACCTATTGCTATGGAATCTCTAATGTCCTCAGTTTCCTAACCTGTTAAATGGATACTAATTCACAATGATAAAATTTTAGTCATGTAAAACTTAACATAATGATTAACTAATGATGGATATTAATGATTAAGATAATATAAGCGATAATAATTGGTTAATATTAAGATTGACAGATAAAAATCAAAATCTGAATATTTTTATTTTTTATAACATCTTTAATACTTTTGTTAAGTATTATTATTTAACTGTCAAGGCTTCTATGTCTGTCTTTACCAACTTATTTATCTTCTTAAAGGCACAGTATCTGTATATAATAGATACAAAAGCAGTACCTGTTGAGTGAATGATGTTCATATCCACTTTAACAGTGTAAGAGACGAATTTGATTTGTTAGGATATGTGTCTAGATTTGTGGTGTGCCCAAAGAATTATAATTTATTGGGACACTTGGGTGGCTCAATCGGTTTAAGCATCTGACTCTTGATATCAGCTCAGGTCATGATTGCACAGTTTGTGAGACTGAGCCCCACAACCAGGCTGTGCATTAACAATGTGGAGCCTGCTTAGGATTCTCTCTCCCTCTCTGCCACTTGTGCTTTTTCTCAAAATAAATAAACATTAAAAAAAGAATTATAATTTATCTATTATGATACGGCAAAGAAGAATTGACAGATGCTTCAAAAATGTTTTTACATAGTGATTTTGAATCTTTTGCTTTCGCCAAATATTGTTACTTATTTTTCTCTCATAGCTGCTTTCCTTTTGTGATTGGTCCTGCCCATCCCTTAGGGAAACTATTATTTTGCAGAAAACTAGTCATAGTCAGTAGCAGAGGAATGAGGAGGAGACACAAAGGGCGTACTCCCAATTTGTGGATTGGATGATCATTCTTTTAGCAATCACGAGTTTTCCATAATGACACGAGTCTTTTAGCAAACACTTGACCTAGATCCATCTGAAATTTAGACATCGGGTTTGCTGAATGATAAGGAAAATTAATAATTTATGATTGAAGTATCTTCACGTAGCCATTGGTGAGGAGCATTCAAATGAATGTGAAGTTAGAATTTTAAAAACTTATGTGAGAAAGTATAGCTTTTGGTTATCCAGGATAGAAAAAAAGGCCAAGGCCGACAAGAATACCTTAATACAGCCCAACAAAAATTGATGGAAAGCTGCTATGAGCAAGCTTTTTTACATGCCCTTGGAGCTATGAAAGATGAAAGAGAGTAAGCTAGTTGGGATGATGTTTTAAGTAAACAGAAAAGCTGTTATTGATGATCGAAGTGAATCATGTTATAAGACATTCCAGTTAAATATCTATAAAACTTTTAAAAGGAGGGGCAATTACAACTTCCCGGGAGTGGGGATAAGAGGGTAGGGAAGCATCAAGAAGTTGCTCATATGGATAGCACAATTTGAGTCAGTTGAAGAGGAGTATAATTTGTATTTGCAAAAACACAGAAAGGTTTTTATATGTAAAGGAAAATTTGCCTTTTCTTACCATGTTATGTATTTTTTTGTGCAACATATATGATTTTTATTTATATTTGTTTTATTCCTACCATGTCTCATAGGTTATCATATTTACTAAAGCAAATGACAAACATTAATTTCTTTCTAAATATTGTGCTTATTTTGTTTTTAGTAAAAATTATCTAAATATATGGCTCATATACCTGATTTCTTTTAAAGCTGTCATTGGTTCAGAGTAATTTCATTTTGTAAACTGGTGTTCTGATCACTCAGAACTCTTAAAAACACATACAAACTTTGGATTCATCTTAGGATCTCTCCCACTAAAGAAAGTTCATGTTCTTGATGTTTTAGAGAAAATTCATTAGAAATATATTTCAAAGTTCTTAAGCTTAAACATGTTTGGAGTATCATTGCAATGGAGCTAACTCTCAATTATTCATATTCATGGATAAGAATAACACTGTAAATAATCAGAAATAGAAGATCTAAACAAACCCACTTACATTTATTTTCATATGTGCAATTTGAATATTTTGGCATTAAGTTTTACAATCCTAATTATAATTTTAGGCCAAAATTAAGTTTTCATTCCTTGAGAAATTCCTACTGGAATGAACTTTGATGAAAATTCCCAGCTGTACTAAATAATATTCATAGGAGTTATTAATGATTTTAAATGTTTTCCTATAACCATAATTCTTGTTCTATAAATGCACAGAGATGTGTGTGCAGTATTTTTTTCAGTACTGGAAAAATTGGAAACAATATAATGCCAATCTGTGGACAGATAAAAATGTTGAAGATTTGTAAGTTGGATTACCATACAGTGGTTAAAATAAATAATTCAGATCTCTGTATATACAGATATGATTGAACTCGACAAAAAATGTGAGCTGCACACAAAAGTAAGGTGTAGAATATATTCAATATGACTCCAGCTCTGAGAAAGTTACACAAAATAGACCTTGATGTTTATATAAAGTAAAATTATAAAAATGAGGATTAGATGGATACCCTTGAAATCATCCTAATGGCCACCTCTGGGAAGGGGAGGAGAATGGAATTGGGGAGAAGAATGGATGAGATGTCAGCTTGACTTTTATTAATTTTAATGAAAATAAAGTAAAACACACATCCTGAGATCGTTTGTAGGAACAGAATGTCCTTTGAGGAGGAATACGTTTCATCTTTTCTTTCTATCCTTCAGGTTAGCTCACAGGCAGAAAGCACTAATAAAGGAAACCCAATCCATGAAAGTGTTAGACCAAACTAGGAGATAAGCTCTAAAATAGATAAGCAAACAATTATTGTTTTCCTCAGTCGAAATGTGCAAGTGCTTACAAGAATAACTTTTAGCTTATAGTTTCGATTTCCTCAAAGAAAAACATCTGAACTGTTATAAATATGAATTTTTATTAACACATTTGCATAGAATATGTATCAATTTATGTAAACGGAACATAGCAGCTGTATGTAATAAAAACTTACAGTTTACATTTTATCAATGAAGTGATTCTGTTTCCTAAATGCTTCATGGACAGGTGCCACTGGCCTTGGGGCCGCTGTGATCTAGAACTAGGTCCTTCTCATCTGTACTTAGACGTAGCTAATGAAATTTGCATTATGAAGTTGTTATAGTTTATGTATATGAGAACAATTATCCCCACCCTTTGAAAATGATTATATTCTTGGGATACACTTTGTTCCACTATTGTGTATAAAAAGAGTTACATCCCAGGGCTACTGTTTTCTTTCTTTGTAATGGCAGCTCCATTTCTTTTATAGAAGCCATTAGGAAATTTTCTGATTTACTGGAAGTGAGAGCACAGTCATTGTTTCATAAATGTACTTTTTTCTATAAAGTAAGAGTACCTGTATAAGTATCAACATTAACATTATATTAATAACGTTTGTATTAAATTTTACTATTTTTTTTTTAATTTCTTTTTCAACGTTTATTTATTTTTGGGACAGAGAGAGACAGAGCATGAACAGGGGAGGGGCAGAGAGAGAGGGAGACACAGAATCGGAAACAGGCTCCAGGCTCTGAGCCATCAGCCCAGAGTCTGACGCGGGGCTCGAACTCAGGGACCGCGAGATCGTGACCTGGCTGAAGTCGGACGCTTAACCGACTGCGCCACCCAGGCGCCCCAAATTTTACTATTTTCTTATCTTTACTGGTTTTATTCTTTCAACCTTCCTGTGATGCCTGGCATTAATTAATTTGTTATTACTCCTGGTTATTGATGAAGGGACGGAGGCTCAGGAAGTCTATTGACTATTTCCCTAAGGTCACACATGCAATAGATGTCAGAGAAAGAGAATCACCAGTGTGTGTGTGTGTTGTTGTTGTCTTTTAAATATATCTTCTGAGCAACTGAGGACTGGATATGTGTATTATTCACTTTTGTACCCCCAATGTCTCACCAGTATTTGGGGCATGCTAAGCACTAAATACACATGGGCTGATGTATAAAATGAAGTTGTTAGAGATTATTCCATTTGCAACAATGGGAAATTCAGTGCTATATGAATATGTGCCACAGATTTGAATAAATATTCTGGAGATCTGGACAGAGTTAGGAGAAATTCTATTTTTATTTTATTCAAAATATAACATCTAGATTAGATGGTGGTTCCTGTACCCAGAAAGTTCTTTTAATAATGGTAAGCTCTGAACACAACTGAAAAGCTGGTAACATTTATTTTTGGAATGACTACTTTCTCAGTCCTGTAGGATGCCTCCAGTTCTGGGCTTATTCCTGCTTAAGTTCTTTGAAACAGAACTTAAGATGTTATCAGTAATTTATAACTCACTGTGACTTTAAGTCATCCTTAAGTATAAACAATAGTCTTCCTTGGGCTTTTCTCAGCTCAGACTTATTTATTATAAAAGGAAATGCTTTGTCCCATCTTAAACTCCATTCTTATTAAGCAAGTGATGGGTGATATGTGTAGAGCAGGGAGTTCTAAATCCAGTTGCCCATGCTATTGACTATGCCAGTCATGTACTTATTGGCAGCTGTTGGAAGCAATGAAGTCAAATGTGATAATAATTTGCAAGTTACTATGTCATAACTTTTTGAGTTCTAAGTCATGTTGGACCCAACCCTATGCTCAATATTTGCAAACACTTGTAAAGGTCACGTCCATCAAGTGTTCCTTGAGAACTGACAATAATTATATTTTTTCTGAGCTTCAGTATCACATAGTCAAAGTGGGAAAGTCACAAGTTGAGTGAAACCCTGTGGATAAATCCAATCCATC